TCCACCTGGCTCTGAACATAATGAAGAGCGGAGTCAGCTTAAGCGCAAGCTGACAAGAAATCTACGCAATGATCGTGAACAGTGGTGGGTAGCGAAAGCAAGAGAGATGGAAAAGGCAGCGGCAATAGGTAATATCAGACAATTATTCAGATTTGTCAAGGAAACCGGTATTAGGAAACCGACTGTTAGCGAAACACTCTCAGAGAAAGATGGAAATATTGTTCATTCTCAATCCAGGAAACTGGATCGGTGGGCAGAACACTTTACGATCAGTTCAACTGGCCTTCAGCCACACTTCCGTTTCCCACGATCTTCAGTCAACCTGAATGGCAAGTTAATCTAGAGCTGCAGGCCCTGACAAGTTTACTCCTGAGATTTTTAAGGATGGTGGTCCAGTATCAGCAGGGAGATTGACTGAGGTTTTAGGTAGAATTTAGGAACTGGACGTAATCCCATCTGACTGGTCTCAATCACTGATTGTGCCAGGCTATAAGAGAGGACAAAAGTCCTCTTGTGATAATTACAGAGGAATCAGTTTGACTAATATAGTGTCTAAAATATTAGCTTCAATAATACTTCAGCACCTAACCAAAGCTCATGAAGAGCAGACTAGAGAAAACCTGGCTGGTTTTCGACCTGGACGTGGTTGTATAGACCACATATTCACACTACGTCAGGTCCTAGAACATAGACACACATTAAGACGCCCCACAATCGTAGTATTTCTCGACCTTAAGGCGAAATTTGACTCTGTTGATCGTGAGGTTCTATGGCAGTGTTTGTCACTGAAAGGAGTACCAAAGAAGTACATTAACCTTGTAAAGGCTTCCTACTCGAACACAACTGGTCGAGTAAGAGCTTATGGCGAATTGTCATCAGAATTGATTACCTCAAGTGGTGTTAGTCAGGGCTGTCCACTCTCTCCGTTCTTGTTTAACTTTGTCGTTGATGTGCTTTTAGAGATGACACTTTCCTCATCTACATTCCCAAGGGTTGAACTTTTACCGGGAGATTCACTTATTGACTTAGAATATGCCGATGACATAGTTCTACTTGGTGAAGACACTGATAGAATGCAGAGTCTTCTGACCACTCTAAGCAACAATGCAAGCATGTTCGTGATGCGATTCTCTCCCTCGAAATGCAATATGTTGCTTCAGGATTGGGTTACATTGATACCCGAACTAATGATAGGGAGTGAAGTAGTTGAGCGTGTCGACAGCCCCACTTATCTTGGAAGTCTCATCAGCCCTTATGGTCTGGTGTGTGACGAAATCTCAGCACGGATACAAAAGGCTCAACTAGCTCTTGCCAACTCGCGTCATTTATGGCGTAGGCCAGATATCCGTCTACCAAACAAAGGACGTGTTTACTGCGCAGCAGTTCGGTCCGTCCTACTTTACGGCGGCGAAACATAGCCGGTAAGTGTACAGGATATTTGTAGTTTACTATAGGTTACCATAGGTGTCTTCGAGGGATTGTTCGTATATCCTTGAACCACTGAATAAGTAATGCAGATGTTAGGAAACGGGTACTAGGTAAGGATGGGACATGTGTTACGTATGTCCGGCCACCGACTGCCCCGACGTGCGAAGTTCACTGGTATAGGAGTAGGTTGAAAGAAGGCTAAGTGCGGCCAAACTAAAACATGGCACAAATCCATGAAGTCACTGACAAGTGGACTGAGTCATGTTGGTAGGTGTAGACTACTTGGTTGGGGACCGCAATATGATAGCAACAGATGGTTAGAGACCCTGAATGTTATGGCTCAAAATCGTTTGCAATGGCGCAGGTGCATCCACTCTTTGTGTTTTCCCAAATTCTAATCTTTTGAATTCTTCATGTCTCTTTTTTTTCTCTTTCCAAATTTATTTCACTGGATTATACTCCTTGAATAATATCTTCAAACCCTAATGTTTCCGATTACTGCTCATACTCTTACCACCTCTACCACTATGGGATTTGAATCGACAATTGTATTTGTGTGCTAATGTGGTGTGGCAACTCTAAATGATGTACGTACGTACGAAGTTCTAAATTGTTACTGACTGACTGACTGACAGGTACACCTTGCTGACTAGTGCCAAGTAGCTTGAAACCCGAGTCCAGGGTTTCCTGTTGACCAATCACCATCTTATCTCAATTAATAACATTGTTTGCAGGTAACAAACAAGCAATGAGAATTAGCGAAATAAATGGACTCATGTTATTCTGTTAAGTTTTGCAATTAATCAGTTTTACAGACTAAAGTTGATGATTATAATTTGTTGATTGTTAGAAATGTATGGGCTTCATATGAGCCTATGGATTCAAACCTGATAACAGTTATTTGAAGTGCCAACCTAATAATGCTATTCTGCTTAGTTCATTACATATATTTACCAATAAGAACTGATGTTACAGCTTAGTAATTTATAGCCTTTGAGTAGTTGACAAAAACTATTTTTGTTATTTTGTTCGTATATGTGAAATAATTGGTAGTGTTCAAGCGCTAAAATGAATAACATTTTTATCAACAAACTTAGTTAAAACAATATAAAACAAAGATGTAAATAAATGCGAATGAATAACAGTATCATAATTTCTTAATGAGATTACCACTATTTCAATGTTGTAATATGTCCAAGCGAATAAATAATTGTAAATTATGTATGAACATTTGACGGAGTTATAAAATGTTTAGTTTTTAATAGCCACTGGTGATGAAACTATACTTTCTAAGCCATTACTCTTTATTTTTCATAACGAATGTCTCAATTAGTTAGATAATTTGCCTCTAGTTTTCTAGGTGAAGATAATCATTTGGGATATCGTTCATTACTACAAATCATCTGAAAAACAGTAGGTACTCTTAAAGTAATAAAAAGTTTTCAATATTTAACAGTGATCTTGTTAGCCTCACGTGATTTCTGAGTGTAGGTCTCTGAATCACGAAGTCAAAATGATCTACACACGGTATAAACCCATCAGTTAACCATATCCTCATAACTCAACTCAGGTTGTGTGAAAACATTATTTTTATAATCCGAACTACTTATACAATGAACAGTAGGCAAATATGTTATCAAAAAGCTCCATACAAAAATAAGACAAATGACTGAACAACAAATTACGTGTAGATCGTTATATAAAGTCGATGGTGTTTTACTGTTGATAAGGTCTAACAACCTAATTCCTATACCATAATGCGACAGTCTCTAAGCCTAGACCCAATGATCTATGTTTTATGTCAGACAAAATAATTAGAATTGAACACAATAATCAAACAACAATTTAATATCTTTATCGTAAGTAAATTTTAATTCATTTTTGTATTGGTTGTCTGAATCTTCCCATTGATGTTTTGTACTGCAATTGATCAGTCTCTTATTAGCATATGTGCATTCTGCCTCGATATTTACTTAAGTTTCAAGAATTCTGAGCAGAAATGGATGTTGGCTAGCAGTGAACGCGCGTTTCGTCGTATTTGGGACTCATCAGCTGGATATATCTGCATCCCAGAGTTGATATCTACTTCGAGACTAGCGTTTGAATCAAACGGTATTGGGTTTGGGTCTCTAAGTGGACATCAACTCTGGGTCTCAGGTATATCCAGATGTCAATTTCTACCATCTGTCTCTAAATTTTAACTTTTCTCTGTATATCAGTAATTCCAAAGGAATAAACTAATTCACAATTATTGAACCTCTCACATACAAATTCTCCGAAATTTACGTTTTTTTAGCCTATTCTGGTTAATTTAAACCTAAATACTTTGAGCAGTACATGTTGACATAGAGATTATTATTCTGTGTAAATATATACACACGCTACAAAAATTAAATTCTTTTACAGAAAATTAAACTAATCATTGAAACTAATGAGTCACTTCTGTTACCATACTAAAAGTTGTTTATGTCCCCAGTGAATATTAATTAACTGTCAGAATAGTTTGACAAACTAGACTGTTTTTATAGTGCATTAAAAACACTAATAATTATGAATAATTCCAAATAGAATGTCGTTATGACTGAGATAAAAAAAATCCCCTGAATTTTAACTGTTTATGATGACACAATTATGAACTACATTCTTTTTCAACAGTGAAGCTAACTGAAAGCAGTTAAATGGAACCTTCTCAAGTAAGAGCTGGCTAATTACAACAAGTTTATTGTGGATTACACTTTTAGAAGATAAATTACTCTCAGTAATCTGGAAAATATCAAATCACAGTTATTTTATCGGAAAACGTAATCGTTCACTGAAGAATGGTTCATATCATGTGGTCTAGTGTACCATATGGATATACTTATGGTAATCAGGTTTACTTGGTTGCCGATATGATCTGGGATTTAATATCCTAATGCATGTAATTTAATGTTAGACAATTTGAACAGTCGGTAGAAAGTTCTTAAAATCAAATTACTAGGGTTTAATTGTGATTTTCACTTTTAATAAAGCATAGAGCGAAAAACTGACCAACGTCGTTGTACAACATTATGACAAATTTTCGGAAGCAATTAACTTAATTTCTGCTTAAGTGAATATGGGTTTTTTTCAATTTGTTGATCATCAGTCATCAACCGTATGTTTCTTGATTTGTCTAAAATTCACATGTAATTAGCAAGCACTAATCACCTTATAAGGAAATAAATGAATCAATTATACTGCATATGAAAATAGAAATCCTCAAAATTGTTACTATCTATCTATCTATCTATCTATCTATCTATCTATCTATCTATCTATCTATCTATCTATCTATCTATCTATCTATCTATCTATCTATCTATCTATCTATCTATCTATCTATCTATCTATCTATCTATCTATCTACGATTTTATAGATTTTGAAATCTTAAGTTTTTTTTCAAGTTATGGATAGTGAGGAAGCATGGAATGTGAAATGTGTTAGGTCACTCAAAAGGTGAATACAATTCCCATATATTTTACACCTCTTTTAGCATTATCAGATTACTATAGTTATATCTATATTAAAAAGTAACATGGTTATTTGAAACTTACACAAATGATCCAATGTTAACTGAATGATCGATCATTGTTTCATTTTGAAACTGTTTAGTATACTCTAAGTTATGTTTGGGAAACGGTATTTCAGTACTGGTTTCAGTGTTACTAATAGATTCACTGAATTTTTTTGTTAAATTTTTATTTGATTTTGAATAAAATGGATGACTTGATTTTTGTGAACTACGAGATCTTGGTGAAGTCGGTAATTCTGCTCCATTGATAATCTGGAAATACAGAAACATAGTCAAATATTTTAAAACAGAAAATAATACTTGAACAAATTTTAGTGACTTATTAAATGAATACTTTTGATTATAGTATTTGACCCCTTGAAGTAAAAGCTGATCAAGTTTACTTCAGCTACTAAGGAACTAAACTTAATAATAACTCAAAATAAACTAAATATCTGTATATTTCTCTTATTAGTTGATAAGTAAATGACCGAGGGAAGTGATATTCATGAAAGTATCCATTAGCAAAAATAATCGATTAAATAATTCTTAAAGCGTTTAATCATTTGAACAGGTGATTTCATGGCATTGATTAACTTGGAAGAGTTAATACGACAATTTAGTTTTAGAGACAGGTATCCACCTCAAACAATGGATGAATGGTTACGCAGCCATTCATGGATCTATCGAAGTTAGACATTAACACCGTTGGATGCCGGCCAGCTCAGTGGTCTAGAGTTTAAGCGTTTGCTCACGAAGTCGAAAGTCTTGGGTTTGAATCCCGCGTGCAGGATCGTGGATGCGCACTGCTGAGGAGTCCCACAATAAGACGAAATGGCCGTCCAGTGCTTCCAGGTTTTCCATGATAGTCTAGCTTACATCTACTTATGACTTCAACTATTGAAATTACTACAATCTCTATAAACCCCATTCTTATCATAATTTAGTTTCAAACAAATTTATTTCATTTCATGTTTTAATAAATCCAACTAATAATTTGAAAATAAAATTGTTATCTATACTTCCATAGTTTTTGATGAGTAATTTACTTAAATTCACACTTTAGTATAATCTCATGTAATTTGGATAGTCAGTAAGAATATTAATATCGCAGATAATCGTTATGAATAGAAGAGAATTAACTGTACTTAAGATAAAATGTTAGTGATGTCTACTTTTGGCTCGTGTTTAAATACTATGGTAGTCTTATGTAAACAGATTTTCTGATATCGAAAATTCTTAATTGGTTTATACATTACGGGTAGAGATAACTAGCCATAGATGCGAACCACTACTAAGGCACGAGTTTACATTTGACAGATAAAAATGAAACCAACTTTTACATATTTCTAGTTACAAAACCAGTATTACTTATATTTTTACACCTTTTAACCACGGTTCCACTCCGAGTAGATTCACTCTTGTATAGAGGTACAATAATTTCATATTGAACTGAAGTGAGAACATCCTAAATTTCAGTAGTTCAGACGTCAGTAATATGGATTGCATTTCCTGAATTCTATGTAGAGTACGTTCATAGAAGTTGCTGTTTTCAAACCTTAGACAAGATATTTCCATTTATTGGAATGATATAATTAATATTTAAGGAAATATTGTGTAATAATCACTTTATTACATTGATTATCTACCAGTTTAACCACGATTTTAACGATCATTTGTTGTTGTCGGGTTATTTATAAAACCTCAGTAAGTTTGAAACGAATAAAAATCTTTGATTCTACAGTTATTCACTATTATAATCTATTAATTTCCTCCAGTTTTTATTATAACGATCATAGGCTACAGCGCTGTCATGACTTTCAAATAATGTGGTTTCTATTGAGGTCGTCACCAAAACCAGAGATTAAGTGTTTTTATCCCCTAATTAAAAGCTGAGTATCTTTTATTTGTTCACAACTGAATTCTTGGCAACTAATAATAAAAAACAGGGACCTATTTTGGTTTTCCGAATAGTTGCGAAATTACCATTCCAGTTTCTATTCTTCGAAATGTTGTACTCATATAAGTAGTAAAGTGATATAGTAATTTTTGCTTTCTTACCTTGACAGGTTTCTGTCTTATAGGTTGCACTGAAGCTTTTGGAATTTCAACTGATTTACGTGAATTTGAAATATTGCTACAATTTTTTGAAAAGGATTGTGGATTAGGCTGGAGATTAGAGATTTCCAAAGTACGGTTAGATTCATATTTTATTGGTTTTTTGTGAGTCACAACTGATACTTCAGTTTCTGAAGATGACGTAATCAACATATCAACAGAATGTCTTGTATCTTGCAAAATATTAGATTCTATCACTTGAGTTTGATTTTGTTCAGTGTTATATTCACTAGTATGTGAATGTAGTTTTTGATCTCCATGTAAAGAAGAAATTGTAGTTGGAACATTATCAGATGATTTGATAAATGCTAAATTTGAGGATTCTGAATTTACTTCAGAACTTTTACTCAACATTTGTACTGAAGGAATTAATTTCAAACATTCAAGTTTATCCAACGGAACAGTATCATAAGCATGACAATTATATCTACTCGATGTAGCTTTTGGAATTTTCGTTTCATACTGACGTCCATTCAGATTAAATGGTTGTAAATTAGTTTGTGATGAGTTATTTTTAACAGATAATCGGTTAAAACTGTATATCAAATAAAATAAAATAATGTTTTTAGTTTCCAACCGTTGCATTAAACTTAACAGAATATGATAAATTAATGTTCTGAACTGTTACATATATACTGCATGGTGTTGTATCCTATGAATTTATTATTTGAATATTAATTTATTTTATTATTTTCAGTAGTTGAGATCATGATACAATTGAAGCTAGAACACCATGGAAAACCTGGAAGCACTGGACATGGATGCGCACTGCTGAGGAGTCCCGTGCTAGGACGAAACGGCTGTCCAGTGCTCCCAAGTATTTCATGGCGATCTAGCTTCAGTTGGCTCATCATCTCAACTATTTAAATTACTATAATATCCACAAAACCCCCTAATGATTTTATTTTATTTTGCTAGAAATAACGGAAGTATTCATTTAATTCTTTAAAATACTTTTATAATCTACTAGGTTGTTACCATTACAAAAATGAAGATTCCTGACAAGTATAGTTGTTAAAAAATTACAATGATATTAATATGTTTAATAATCTTTTGTTTCATCATTTAGTTAGATATGTAAATCTAGTCTACTGATATCATAAACAGACTAATGATATTAATCAATATCAAATTGATTCTGGCCTGATGACAAAGGAATGTTCTGTAGCATACATGAAAACCTGTCACATATTATTCTCAAATTCCTAGACAGTATACAGTTTAAAACAATTAGTCCCTTCGGTAAATTTCGATAATGCCATGGGAAGATGAAGTTTATCAGAATTATGTGATATATTTGCGCAATACATTCCGAACAATCTGATCACACATATGCTTGTTAAGATATTTTTATATGAAACTTAAAAGGTCGACTAGATGGTTTAACAAAGAAAAATAAAGTACACGAAAACAACGTGATAACCACTCTAGATAATAAATCAGTATTACCAGGGTAGGTTAAGGGTGGATAAGAGCAAATTGTTTTTGAACATATAAAGAGGGTTTCAATTTCTTTATAACCGAGGCTTCAATAAACCTTAGTATACGTCCTTGAAGGCGTTTGTATAACACTACAAATGCTGATTTGACGTCAACCTTATGACCAGTCTCAATTAAATGTTTCGCAAGGGAGGATGACGTCTGCCTATCTTGTGATCTTATTTGACACATTGTTTTTGTGTACTTTATTATTACTATGTTTTCTTTGATACGGCTTACCTTTAGACTGTCTAGTCGACCTTTTAAGTTACATTTTAAAATGTCTTAACAAGTATATGTGTGATCAGATTGTTTGGAATGTATTGCGCATATATACCACACAATCCTGATAAACTTCGTCTTCTCATTGCATTATCGAGAATACAGTTAGTTAGTGTTTTCATTTGCAAGATTCATTACGAGCCATTTTTTGAATTTCAAAAAATATTTATAACTGAGGGTACTAAACTTACGTTCATGCGCATAAACATACTTTGATGTACAATTTTAATTTAATTTAAACTTACTAGTTCTTATCTCGAACATCTTGAAGTTCTGTGAATATTGAAGTTGTTTAAGAAGTTAATATCACTGGTAACCGTTTTTCGGAAAGGCTTAAAACTAAAATCTTTCATGTGTTTTTGTATGTCACCGAAAGTATAATTAGTTAAGACCATTAAGTGACTGGTTGCAGTTGCTTATTGTTTTTTGTATAATAAACTTGAAATTAAAGAATTAATTTTCACCACTTTAACTATGCGTTACACTTTAAGCGAGTTTGCTGATAAACACCAATTAAAATCCTAGTGGAGATGAAGGAAATTTATTTTCGGGAAGACTCCTATTTCTCGCTTAATAGTGGTCTCAAATAGACAATATGATTTTCACCAGAAAATAATCTTACTAAACTCAAATATGTTCCGGTAATCTCTCAAATAAATTTAATACAATAAATACTACTAATATGCGAGAAAAGTTGTCAGTAAATTGATCAGTCAACAACCATAAAACAATTCAGTAAATAAGCAAAGATGGATGGTGGCTGTCGGTGGAATAATAGATTCCATTATTCCACCGACAGCCACCATCCATCTTTGACTATAAAGTTTGTGACTTAAGGCAATATTGAGGCAATCCGCAAAGGATGCATATATACCAACAAGAGACTGATCAATTGCAGTCGTAAACAACAATGAAAGGACAGAAGCAAATGAATCCAGTAAATATTCAGAACAATCAACTCGAATAATATACAAACCAGTAATTTACAAGAAAATGTAACAGATAAAAATTGTTTTAGCAAGCCTCATTTTTTGCTGCAAATAACTAATAAATCATAAACTTAACCCGCTTTAAGGGACACTAGTGTAATTTGAGAGGATTGTCTCCATAAATTGTTATTGTTAACTATATTACAATCGGATTAAGACCTGTATATTAAATTTTACGTTTACGGAATTTATCTAACTGTAATTATTTTCTATCTTCAGGTAGTATGCAGATGTCTTTCAGGACATTAAGATAATTAGGTAAACGTGAATGTCTTATTCAAACAAATGTAATTGTGAGTTGCTACTGCATCTAGACTAATAACTAGTTTAGTTGATTTTCTTTTAATAAGTGAACCATATATACTGAAATCAATCTTCTAATCAAAGAATTTCGATGGAGTTTTGTTCTCTGGATGATTTGGTCGTGGAGTTTTAATAATTATTGTAAACAATAACAAGTTTAAGGTTAACAAGAACCAATTAACATCGAGGTCTACAAGATAAGCTGTGAACCACATGTAGAGAAATTCGATTACTTCACTTCTACCTGAATTCTGTGCTGATGATGTCACTCAGAAGAATGATCAAAAGCTCAACGACCAAACCATCCAGCTCAGAGAACAAAACTCCATCAAAATCACCCACTTACGCCACAAATCTTCACCATCTGAAGATCAAAGAATTCTTAGGTTTAATTTATTAAATATTTCCAAGATATCAGTCCACCAATACATCTGAATTTTTAATTAAGCGTGATGAACCTAAGTTGGCAGTCAGTGTACTCAACTGCCAATAGCACCATTTCTGTTATTAACTGGACAGTACAGAACAACAACCAGCAAGTGAATTGAAACAGAAACTTGCTTGTTGTTAGCATATTTCAGAATTACATTGAAATGAAGCGAATCTTCTACTGATTAATTATAACATGGATTTAAAAATCAAAGCAATAATGGACAAAAATCACACTGAATAAAATCAACATTATGTATTTTTATCCTATTCTATCAATTACCAATAAAATCACTCAATAAGATCAATTAGATATTGTTCCATATACATGACAACTTCTATTTGAAGTTTGGCTTTCATAAAGTTTCCTATTGACATCCTTCTCTGTATCAATATCAAATATCTAACCCGATAAGTTCTGATTGATAGACTGATACAACAACGATTTAATTTTATCATAATACTTTTTTTCAAAAATATGTTAGATATCATATGATGTAAAAATTGAGTATTTTATAATGGAACAATTTTAAGTCTTGATTTTAACACATACTACATCAGGAATTTGGCATAATATGAAGACAAATGGATACTCTCAAACAAAGTAAAATAGTGAGAACCTTTTCGATAAGATTTTTGGCAACGTTTTTTTTGTTTTGAGAAACCGTGAAAGAAGTTATCGATTACTTTAAGATATTTTACAATCAATTTGTACTAGTCATTTTATTAATGAGTCCGTATAATTTCAAATGAGGATTTTTAATTGATATCTAAGCATATATAATAATCAATATATATATATATATATATATATATATATATATATATATATATATATCCCTATGTTTCTCATTAACCGGAAGTGTAGTGTAGACTAGTGGACTTGTACACCAAGGAAACCTAGAAGAGGAGCTCAAAACACAACTACCAGATTCAGTTGGAATGAAAGTTTAAACACAAATACTTTAGGAATACTTTGAAATACTTCAAAAGTACACACATTTTATTATCTCATGTTGGTAACGATTTGAAAAATTAAATAAACCATTGAATTTTACCTTTGCTGTGTATTTTGATTGAATTCCCTGAGTTCAGAGTTTAGACTTGAACTACGACTAATAAAACCTGACTGTGTACTGGATAAATTCGGAAAATCACTGAAATGAGAATCATTTGATAACACAGTATCTCGTTTTGTACTTTGTTTTGAAAATGATAAACTAGTTGGTGTTCCTGACTTATCCACACCCATATATGATGCACGAACAAATAAAGCAGCTCTTCCTAAAGTGGGAGTTCTTGGGCGACGGAGAAGCACGGTAGATTTGGAGGCAACAGGAGTTGGTGGATAAACTTTTTCGCATGTCGAACAAGATTCTATGTTTCTATCACTAGATGTTTCTGAAAACCTATCTGATGGTGTAACACTAGAACTTCTCTGTCCACATTTAGGTGGTTGGATCATCACATTAGTACAGTTGTCATTCTTGTAGCTACTTTCTTCAGGATTAACACATTCGTTTGAACACACTGTTGAATTTTTTGTTTCATTGGAATCAAATATATCTGATTTTTCTTGATCAGGCCACTGCAAACTCATTTTGACCGTTGATGGAAGGTAGGTTAAACTTGACAAAAATATCAACAAAATAAAAAGTTGAGATGTATTGAGTATTATAAATTCGATGAACACAATACTTGTTTTTGTACAATGTGTAGGTCGAAATTTTCATAGGAACGTCCTAGTAAAAAAATGTCAACTAAAGTTCCGTAAATAAGTAGTTCGCAACCGATATAAGATTGCTAGATTATGCTCTCAATGTCCTGTGGACTCTGAATTTATTGGTTAGAATCAGTTAAAGACTAAAGTTATGACCTGACTACAGTTCTCATCGAGAAAGACTGTCAGCGAATTATGTTTAAGAATACGTTATTAATTGATCAATCAAGTTGAAGTTAGACATTAACACCATTGGACGCCAGCTCAGTGGTCTAATGGTTAAGTGCTCGCGCGCGAAGCCAGTAGGTCCTGGGTTCGGGCCCCGGGTGGTGCGGGGTCGTGGATGCGCAGTGCTGAGGAGTCCCATACTAGGACGAAACGGCCGTCCAGTGCTTCCAGGTTTTCAATGGTGGTCTAGCTTCAACTGACTCATGAGTTCAATCTGTGAAAATCAAGTATCTATCTAAATGACGATAGTATTTAACAAAAATAAACTTATTAATTCATATATTATTAAAACTTCATGACTAGAATTGGTATGTCCAAGTTTGTGTCGCTATTAAATAACATTGAGAGCTCGGTTAGTGAATCATAAGGATTATGAAATGAGCGAAAGAAACAATTTAAATAACGATTTCTGTAATCAAGTATTTCCATTATAGTATAAAGTGAAACAAACAAGTCTAGAGATTTTTAATTTCGTCCAACATAATTGTGTGTCATTCTTGTTTGGATTTGAAAATTATGACATTGAGTTAAATACATGCCTAGGTATAACCTAATTGCAAACTTTTATATAAATTCTATGTATCAATAATGTATTTTATTCTGTGATTAAAGTGTAAACATCAACTCTGAGATGCCGGTACATCCAGCTGACAAGTCCCAAACAGGATGAAATGGGCGTCCTGGATCCCACTGCTAGCTACTATCAATCATTGCTAATAAAGGGGGTATTAACATTTGATTAAAATTGTTTTAGGGATTTTAAGTATCTGAAATCTTCATCGGATCCGAATTGTTACTATGAAGTCAGTTCATAATTCACATACATTTATGAGTTCTAATAAATAGTCAGTTTATTAATTTACAACAAATTTAGTCAAATATTATGTTTTAGATCTTTATTGAACTATTGTAAATCGAATTCGCTTGAAAGTTTGTTGTGTAGGTATAATTATTTGTACCAGTAACTAGCTGCTGTCTTGAATCACAGGGAACAGTCAGTTGTATTGTTAACATTGGGATTATTAATGTCGGTTGTAGTACCTCTAATCTTGATGTACTAGTCGATTATGTCATCCACTATTCATTACAACCCAATTAACATTCTCTCAGATAGAGCTTGTGAAAAATGATGAAGCATATGTATTTTTCAACGTATTCTATGAAAGGAACTTGGATTGTTTTTATTTCGAGTTGACTAATGTCTTTTAAGCATCAAACAGTGGTAAAAAAAGTCAATTATTAACTGAATTTTTGAAAAACTACTTGAAATTTCACTATTTCTGAGTGTCTTGAACTCGTCAGTATCCTATTTAAGAACACCTATGGTATCACCACGAAGAAATCAGTATTTAATAAGCTTTTAATATAAATTTCTCCAAATTTGTATTCATGCACGAACTATATACGAGGTATAAGCAATCTGAAAATTTACCTTTGATTGACTGAACCTTCTAAAGCAAGATACTTGACGAAATGTGAGTGTTTAGCTGAAACATTTCTTATTGCATCGAATGGGGATATTTCATTATTAAGTAAATCTGCCTTTTGCTTTTTTGATTTGTTTGTAAACCCAATCCTGAAGAAGCGCTATAGGATGGTAAAATATAAAGAAATCAAAAGAACAGATTACTACAATCAGTCGTAAATGTTAAAAACATTTTTAACCTTCGTTAATTTAACTTCAAACAAAACCTTTTATTTGAGGTGTAAAATTTAGGGATTTCATTTTACTGCACAATAAATGAAAATATCATGAAATACAGGGTTTTCAAATGATTTTGATTTAGTGAATGCATCTCATCTCTTCACCAAAAATGTACGCTCCGGGAGTTAGTAAGACGAGTAAAGGAAGATGGTTCGGCATGAGTTCACCAAAGAGATCCCGCAGAAAACAACCTTGCTAAAAAAATGCCAACCCGAAGAAACAAATCTAACCACTTAAACTCTGATCTCCGAATTTAAGAATCTTTATTCAGAAGAATTATGACGCCTCATGGTGAAAGCCAATGCTCTTCAAAAATCATGAGGCCGACGCTCTTTCTGACATCTAGAGCAAAAATTAATATAGGTAGATGGAATGTCCGGACAATGTGGGAGACTGGGATCATTCAAATAGTTACAGAGATGAAGAAATACAACTTGTCGGCGCTCAAAATGAGCGAACCTCATTGAACCCAAGCTGGACAGAAAATATTAGCTTCTCAAGAGGTGCTGTTGTACTTCGGTCGGATTCCGTAAGCATCGATAGTGCACAGATTAAGTCGAGATACTACGGATCATCGTTGAGCAATCAATTGAATGGAACTCGTCACTATACATCAACTTCATTGCATATAAGAAAGCGTTTGATAGTATGGATAGGAGAACTTTACGGAACCTTCTCCGACACTATGGAGTACTTGAAAAAATCGTCAATATTGTACGGAATCTGTACGACGGACTACACTGCGAAGTCATTCATGGAGGATAGCCGACGGACGCATTTTAAGTGAGAAACTGAGTCAGAAAAGACTGTCTACTCTCTCCCTTTTATTTCTTCTGGTGGTCGACTGGATTATGAAGACCTCAACATCTGAGAGGAAGCGTGGAATACAATGGGCAGGTTGGATGCAACTAGACGGTTTGAACTTCTCAGATGACATGACCCTTCTATCCCATACACACCAACAGATGCAGTTGAAAACAACTAGTGTAGCAGCGGCCTTTGCATCAGTGAGCCTCAACATACACAAGGGGAAAATCAGGATCCTCAAATACAACATGAGGAACACCAACCCAATCACAATTTATGGCGAAATCCCGGAAGAAGTGGAAAGTTTCACGTACCTGGTCAGCATCATCGATAAACAAGGATAATCTGATGCAGACGTAAATGAGAGGATTGGCAAAGTAAGGACCGCATTCCTACAACTGAGAAACATATGGAACTCAAAACAAGTATCAACTAATATTAAAGTAAGAATCTTCAATACGAACGTCAAGACAGTTCGAGAACTACCACAACCATAATCAAAGTGATACAAGTACTAATAAATAGTTGTCTACTCAAGATACTCAGTGTCCGTTGATCGGATACCATCATCAACAGCCTACTGTGGAAGAGGACGAACCAGCTTCCAGCTGAAGAGGAAATTAAGAAAAGACATTCGAAGTGGATAGGACATACATTAAGAAAATCATTAAACTGCATCACAAGGCAAGCGCTAACTCGGAATCCTGAGGGGAACTGGAAAGGAGGAAAGCCAAAGAACACAGTGCGTTGAGAATTGGAAGCAGACATGAAAATAATGATTAGCAACTAAAAGCACCTAGAAAGAGTTGCCCATGACAAAGTTAGATGGAGAATGCTGGTGGGCAGTCTACGCTCCTCCACGAGGGGTAACAGGCGTGCGTAAGCAAGTAATATTCAAAACTGTAGTTAATCAGTTTCTGTCAATATATATGTAGTACAATCACATGTCTACCGTACGTTTTAAACAGAGAAGTACATTCCATGAAAACTTCGCTGATGCTCCTTTGGACTATGAAGGTTGGACCTCGTTCATCGAGGGCTGTATTAAACAAAAAACGAGTATATTTCTCTTAACTGATTTAGGTGCTCTTTTACACGGCCACGCAAGACAATGTTAAAGAGCGTTTGTAGATGCTGAAATTAACAAAACAATGATTACTCGGATGGGGTCGTAGATTTAACGAAATCTCTAAATTTAAGATTGGGATACTATTATGTCCTAAGTTACGTCAAATATCGTGGAACAAGATCGTCAGTCAGAACACCAACTTATACGGCTTCCGCCCTATGTTAAACTAATGACTCGTTACGCAGCATGAACAGCCTGGAGTCAACTATGAGTCCTTAATGGTCCTTCTCGCCTACCCCTACCCGTTGAGTCCAGAATACAATTTCAGCCTCCACTCTATGAATAGTATATTTCAGACACACTTGGTTTATATAAGTAGACCAGACCGCATCGCACGGTAACATAGAAAATAACAATTATACAACGTCAAGCCAAACGTGGCTGTGAGTGTTGGAGACTTTAGCTAATAAGTCGGGAATAAGTTAAGAATGGTAAATCGCAATAGCCAATAGGTCAAATGAAAAGAATATATATATATATATTCTAAGAATGTGTGTAATAATAGTCCATAAATAATTCCTAGCGGTTACCACTCATTCATTATTCGTTAGAATATAACAGATACATATTTTCGATCGACAGTAATCGAAACAATCATATAGTCAGTAGTTATGTCAGATGTTTAATAAAACATTACGTAATGTGCAATAATACGCAGTAATCAATGTAAACTTTGTGTATTTCTTAGTTCGAATCCAATTTAACCCAGCGAATCGCGATGTGTCACTAGTCTAAGTGACTCGACATCATGTGCATTATATCTTGGTATTCGATAATCGGAGCCATTCAGTAGAGAACGCTAGTCTCATGTTTTATGACACATGATGTTGGTCTCTTAATGGTTCGTGAAAGATTTCGAGCAACGTCACAAAGTATCAAGGTTTGAGATGTCACCAGCCGTAACTAAAACAGTAATGTTAAGTGATGTAAGTCAAAATCTTACAGGAAGCATAAAGATCACAGGTACACTGTGTTGAAATCAAGGCTCAGAGTTTCCTGTCAACTGCCTCCAATAAATCAATATTAATTAAGTAACCCATTAGATTCTAAGTAAGTAAGTAATAATAAACTAATGTGTTTTAAGTAAATTGTTGTATGGTAAATATATATCTATAGAAGGATAGAAAAGATTGCATTATAAAGTGATTCGAAATTCTTCTTATCAAATGAGGTTACTCAATAATCAGGGAGTAACAAAAGAATATAAGGATGGAAATAATTTACAGGTCAGAATTATGGAAGATGATTGTCCACTTGACAGATATGAAGGAAAACGAATACATGGACATATATTAAGCAAAGATGGATAGTGGCTGGCAGTGGAATCCAGGCCGCACGTTTCGTCCTATTTGTGACTCGTCGGCTGGATGTACCTGCATCTCATAGTTGATGTTCACTCAGGGACATATATTTGCCATACAACTAAAAATACGAATGTACAGCTTGAGTAAATGATTTCGTCGAAAAGAAATTCTAGTGATTGGAATGTAAAACAAATCTAACTATTACTGAATTATTTTTTACAAAATCCAAGCATTGGAAACCTCAATATTATGAATGATTATTATAAGCATTTAGATGGAAAAAGTGTTGTCAAACTGTCACTTCATTATTCTTTGAAGATTAGAAATTTTGTCATTCAGTATTAAATTTTTATGACTACTTTTGGTCACTCACACGATAGACCAGATTTGCTGGATAGAAATTCAGTAGTCCCTCAGATGAGTTTGAATTCATTTGATGGTATGAATAATTATGAACAAGCGCAAGATTTAACTTTTTCTCCTTAATATATTGGTCAATGAATTGACATAAAAAGAAATGAGTTTAAAATAACAATTTGTAATGTAAACGAAGTTGATTTCAAAGTTATCAAACTGCTTCGCCTCCGATACTTTCAGTTAAGAGGAATCACACTATTTATTGATTAAATATGTGAATTATATCCACTTTGTGTCCTGTTTATAACAGATAGACCTCAACTAGATGCTATTCTGGTCGCTGAGGTTCCCAATTTAATAACGATACTACCTCATCGATCACTGAAATGCTGTGTAAGGAATCATTTTGGATTATTCAATCTCTTTTCAATGTCACTTTTACGATGGTAACCTATTTTGCAGACAGGAATTAATTGCTTTTGTTCATATTCGATTCAGTATATATATATATATATATATATATATATATATATATATATTAATCAGAGTACGGACTGCAGATAATTCAAAATAATGGTAAAATACTTTCATTAGTCATCAAATTTAGGCTATTTTATAAATGGTTTCTTTAGACATAGAATTGCAGAAAATAGACGAATTTAGTTAAATATTTCCATGAAGTATCCTAAACCAGTCAGGTTTCTTACCCATCATACTTTGGAATATGATAACAAGAACACTTGAAAAGTTGCATAAAAAGTTACGCAGAAAATCGCAATTATTAAATTAGCTCCAGAAAGCCGTCCAGTATTTGAAAAAAGAAACCCCTATATTCTCTTGTAGCCTTCAAAGTATGGATGTTAAAGTGCTAGTGGCTGGAGAAAGGACAATTACTGGCATGTTGGACAGTACTGATAAAAGTAAACGATTGGCTCCTATATTCAGCCACTTCTGTGTGCAAATAGAATGGTAACTGCTTATTTGTAGAAGGCCAATGGAGTAGAAAGACCATATTAACCCACTACCTCTTTATCAAATATTATTCAAGATGGCTAGTTAGATGGGAAAATTAATTTATTAAAAGTTCATAATTGTATCATCCAGTGAACCTAGGGCATAAAATCTTTGGGAGCTCAGAATTTTAGGGTTTGTTCATGTTCATTTACTAAGTATGAGCAAAAATATTAGCATATAATGTTTACTATTGAGCTCATTTACAAGACTTCTCTACCAATCTTGTATACAAATCATTTATGTTTTTCTACTTTCTTTTTAATAACGTTCATGTTTACATAGTTGTATTTATAATGACTCACTTTACGGTCATACAATATAATCGTAAACATTACTTTTATCTATATTAATAATATTACCATTAGTCTCCGTTATGTTTTAATAATTTTAGCCCTTTGTTACATTGTATATGAATCATTATCTTTTTTAGTAAGTAAAAGACAAATTGTTTTCCCTATCTTCTAGGCCCACATAAATAAATGAATTTAAGTTATGGTGTTCATAGGCATTATTTGTTTTATGCCAGTTCTCAATAAGAACATTTCTTCTTAGTAAACAAACACGTGCCTACCTTTTAAGCATTACTGTTACCGATGGAATGGTCCTGTGGATATTTATTTAATTCGAAGGAGTGATTCCTCATTGACCAATTTCGGCTGGAGTTTATCAGCTTGTTCACTGGGACTGTTCACTTGTGTTTTCCCAAGAATCTCTCATGAGTCGTACCCAGGAACGTCGTGGAGAGGGTTCGACCATTAGACCACTAGGTTGGTATTCAATGGTACACATCTTCATATTCAGTCGATTAATGTTATTGCACAGTGATTATTCAGTGATGTTAGTAACTACTGTTTCACTCCAGACGCATCCAAACTCCACAGGTTATGACTTACAAATCGAACTTCAGAAAATCCCCTTGGAACAAGTCCCCGGTCGGGTCTTGAGTAACACTGTTCTGGAGTCCCATACCATGATAAAACAGTATTTTGTTGCTAACTGATCTAAAATGGTTCCCCAACTGAAATCCATCTGTGACGAATATCATTAATATTTTTGTTCTTTTTGTACCAACACTAATATTCTGTCAATTATATTGGTTCTAATTTTTAAACATGATTCCAGTCAATTTTCTTGAAAATTCAGAAAAAGCCGACTTCACTTGCTCCACCTTATTTTGGAGATAGATCATGTGATAAAAGTGAATATATTACTTCCGAACACATATATTAGAATCTAAAACCAGATTAACATATAGCTGACTTCGAGGCTACTTTCAATGAAGTATTCTTTTTCACTGTGTTACGTCTCTTAAAAATGATGCCACCTCATGAAACGTGATTCTAATGGAGCTCCTCAAGCGATATGAATATTTACACTATAAGTAATCTGGTTAATATTAACAATGAATAGTTAAAACTAAATTTATGATTGAACTAACTTGGGATATTTAAAACTTGTACAAACTTGTATTTCTCAGTTAAATGCATTTTATAAGGATTACTGTCAGATTCATCCTGGTTTTTTTCAATCCATCTAAAATTATGTATAAGCTTATCCTGTGGTTAAGTTTTAGAAAAATTTAACTTTTTGTGAATAAATTTATTTTTTCTTAAAGTTTACCTTTAAATTAATAATTATCTCTTTATCCTCGTTACTGTACTGTCCAATAATTATACTGAACGAAACAAGAATAAGAGGCATAAAATATGAATTCATTTTATGTATAACTGATGATCCTAGTTTACTTTTATTGAAAATCTAATTTCATACATTTTTATTATCTTAATCATAAATAAGTAAACTCATTTGTTAATATAAACATTGTGAAAAATAGTTTCTTAAAACTGTTAAGTGTATTTATTTAGGGGTTGTGGAGATAAGTGAATTTCATTGAAGTAATGAAAAGATCAATGTCAGACCACAAATAGGAAATTAGAAACATTAGACGTCCATTTTGTCCTAGTACGGGACTCCTCAACAGTGCATGTACACGATCCTGTATGCAGGATTCGAGTCCAGGGTCATTGGTCTAGCGTAAACGCTTAACTTTCAAACCACTGAGTAAGTATCTAACTGCATTAATGTCTCACTTCAACTAATCCATAATGTTTCATGACCAGCTTCGTTTATCTTCAGTTGAAGTACCATACTCGGACGAAACACCTGTCCAGTGCTTCTAGTTTTCTAATGGTGGTCTAACATTGATCACATTGATTCGTCCGTCTAAAATCCAAGTCATGACTATTTAAGTTTAACCATGTCTAAAATGAGCCGGTTGCCCTTCACCACACCACTGTAAATGGATGACTGTCCTTTTGTTTCGTGAGTGGCTTGACGTTGGGAATATTTTCCACTTGATTTCAATTTGGTTGTCCGAATGTATTACATCCTCTAAGGAACCTGGATTTTGTGATTTATCCTACGAACGGGGTATATGAAAGCACTTCTGAGGAGTCACATAAGTAGACAAAACATCTCAAAAGTGTTATGTGATTTTCAAAACACCGCAAATCTCTTAATCAAATATATTTGATGAGTAAACATACCACATGGGACTGTAGGGAAGACATATTTATGTTTATCAGTGCCTTAAATCCTCTAAGCTTACATGACCTTAAATATAACATAAAAGTTGTTTATAAGCTATGCAAAAGAACTAAATAATTAACATAATCATCATGGTTTTATGTAAAGGAATGACTAACACTTGATCCTACGAAAATTGTAACTTAAAGCCTAGTACAGAATGCCTATATTTTATTACATTTTAGTTACGTAATTCATCACTTTGCTTTACATTTTGTTTGACATTGTTTTTGTGTGACTTTTACAGCTAACTCGTGTAAAACACCATTTTGTAAATTACTGCAAAATAGGCCATAAATATTTAGTTGGATTCGAAATTTCAGTGAAAATTATAAAGATCTATAGATACAGAAAAATGTTGACGATTTCTTGTTGGCAAATAATTATTTCAGTTAATATCATGAATGGATGAATGGTAGAGTACTATTGAAAACCTGGAAGCACTGGACGGCCGTGGCTAGTAGAGTTCAAGCGTGTCTGTTGTAGAGGCCGTTACTCACTGAAGACGATGGTAGACGGTCGGATTGGTTAAAGTTAGACATCAACACCGTTGGATTTCGACCGGCTCAGTGGTCCACATTTTAAGTGTCTGTCCTGAGTTCGAGTCCCGTGTGCGCAATCGTGAATGCGCACTGTTGAGGAGTCCCATACTAGGACAAAACGGCCGTACAGTGCTCCCAGATTTTCAATAGTGGACTAACATTCATCCATTCATGATAGCAATCGAAATTCAACAATTTCCACAACCCTATACTGAAAATAATTATTTATATATATATATACCGTGTCTATTTTTATTTAAAAAAATCCGCATAACTCTATATTTTCTATTGTCCGTACTCGGAATCCTTTTCTAAGCAATAATGTAGAGAATAATTAGGTTGGAAAATATAATGAATTTAACAAAGTTCTTCCTTTATTCTTTTTTATTTTTTTAAAGTAAAAGGGAAATTATTAAAGTTGTATATGGGAACTAATGAATAACGAAATTTAAGAAATAGATGATAATTAACTCGTCAAATTATTTAACTTAATTAAGTCTTTTAAAATTAATGAGATTTAAACAAATGTAAGTTTTCAGTAAAAAGAAGCGTCTTTCACAGTAAGATTTGTTACAAAGTATTAACTGATCGATTCAGATAACTCCTGTTATTATTAATGTCAACAATAATGAGAGATTGAATATAAAAAAGAAACTATTTGTTCATTAAATTCATTTGGTACTGTTTACTTGAACATTCACATTGATGTTTAGGACTGCAATTAATCAGTCTCTTATTGATATATGTGCACACTGTGAGTATTGCCTCGATATTGCTAAGAGACTGATCAATTTCAGTTCTAAACATCAATGGGAAAATTCAAGTAAACAATGCCAAGTGAATTTGAACTCCACCCCGTTGCGCAAGCAAGTGGCTATCAAGATTCAGTAGCTAAGTGGATAAAGCGATGACGAAGTGAACATCAACTATGAAATGCAGGTACATCCAGCCGACGAGTCACAAATAGGACGAAACGTGCGGCCTGGATTCCACTGCCAGCCACTATCCATCTTTGCTTAATATATGTCCATGTATTCGTTTTCCTTCATATCTCTCAAGTGGACAATCATCTTCCATAATTCTGACCTGTAAATTATTTTCATCCTTATATTCTTTTGTTACTCCTTGATTATTGAGTAACCTCATTTGATAAGAAGAATTTCGAATCACTTTATAATGCAATCTTTTCTATCCTTCTATAGATATATATTTACCATACAACAATTTACTTAAAACACATTAGTTTATTATTACTTACTTACTTAGAATCTAATGGATTTACGGATATAAATAATCTGGTTAATACAAACAGGTTAGTTCTGAACTATCGGTGATCTGTTGTATAGACGAAAACAATACACCTTTAGTCTTGTACGTATTGTGACTTTCAGCTGATCATCTTGTGTGCAAGTGTACCTAAAGTTGTTGACACTTGAATCAAACCTGAGAAAGGCTCATATATAGTTCTTTGTGTAAGACTGCTAATTGAAACCACAAAGTAAGAAATGAGTGACGAAATATGTAACAAACGAGAATCTAAAGAGCTTAAATCCAGAGGAATCCCGGGGGTGCTATGACTAATGGGATTAGAAACTAGAAAATTTCATCACTATGAGGATGGAACATTTTGAACAGATAACTCATGAATAAAATAAATAGTAATTTAATAATAATAATAAAGTAAAAGTCACATTAAGTCTTCCAAATACAAACGCCAGTTTTTTTGAAATCCAAACTCTTCATTTATTGTAGGAGTAATAATAATTAGAAATAGTATTACAACATTCTGGTATTAATGCTTATGGTAATGTCTCAAAATGAAATTAACACTAAATATTTCTTGTTTGCCTTTACTATAAAATATTCATTGAAAACTAAGGAACATTCGGCAGTTGTTAAGTTTTTTGATGAATCTTTTCATGATTCTGTCAGGGTCGAAACGCACAACATTCAACCTTGTCTGTAAGTTTATAAGTTTAAATAACTTTATTATTAGAAATTTATAATACTGTGAAATGAACATAAACTGTTTACTCTTTAAATTCACCGTTTGAATAGTTAAAATCTGTTTATGTAATCTATGCGAAAATCAATATACTTACCCAAAAGCGTTGTTTTTGTGTATCTGTTTCTTTTTTGTATTTATCGTTATTGGCTATATCCGTTAATGATTGTTTTTGAATTCCACATTCGGATTTTTCTTCGAATTCTGTGCTTGTATTTGATTTTTTCCTTGATCCAACTCTTTTAGGCCATGCAATTGGCATAGATATTGATGTTGATGAACCAACTGGATTTCTACATAATGACTTACTTTTTCCTTCATGAATCTCATGTGATTTCATTTTTAAACCAAAACAATAATGAGACGATGTCATGGAATCATCTGCAGTTGATTCAACAATATCGCCATGATTATGATTAGGCTTACATTTTGTTTCTTGTTCCATTTGTTTTAGTTTAATAAATTAGACGTTTTGCCTATCAAAAAAAACAATAAATAGAAAAGTTCAGAACTTTGACTTATATGTTCTTACTGGTACGAGCAAGATAACAAATGAGCGAATAACAGCACATTCATATTTCATTTCATCTACCGCTACTCCGGATGATTGATAGTACTGGGAAAAACAGTTATTACAACCTACTTTCTCAACAATAAACTTTATAGAATATGGGTTTAGATTATATGTTATCACATCATCTACAAACTTATTTTACACATAATGTCATACATGTATAAAGACCAGGTCAATAGCTTCTATGATCACTTAAAGTTCATATTATATACCAAAATTAATATAATAGACATTCCTGATAAAATAACACCAGGTCTGTAATTTGATTAACTATTTATGTATAAAATCAGAATATTGAAATAGAACTTAGGCAAGTGATGAAAGTATAATTAAAGTACGTTAATACTGTATTTAGTATGATTCTTTCGCTGAGATTTTACAAATATATTCTTTCTCTTTTAATGATTAAAAAGTGTGGAGATTTTAGAAATTTCACAGATTGAAATCATGAGTCAATTGAAGCTAGACCACCATAGGTCCTGGGTTCGAATCTCGCGGGGTGTGGGATCGTGGATGCGCACTGCTGAGGAGTCCCATACTAGGACGAAACGGCCGTACAGTGCTTCCAAGTTTTCCATGGTGGTCTAGCTTCAATCGACTCATGATTTTAATCTGTGAGATTAAAGTGTTAAGAAAAAGACATATTAAACATGCAAAGTAAACTGATTCACTTTATTTACTGAGTCATAGCGTTTACAAATCTTGTACTTACTCAAATATATAATAATGCATTCTAGTAGATCTTTACTTAGTTGTTTCTATAAAAGGTATAGACTACTTATTAACACGGTTGTTTATAAATTCCTTCTTATGATAAATCTAATTACTGATTTCATATTTTACTTCTATTCAATATTTAAAAGGTATAGTCTAATTAATATCCAATTTACCCTTAGGACAAAATGACATATTATTACAAAATTGTCTGACCTTGATAAAGATTTATTATAAGTAGTATAATAACATGTCACTTTTCGAATGAAAATCAAAAAAACTTTCACCCTAAGGTAACAACAGCTGAATATTGAATACTAAACAAAAAGACACTAAAAAGTATACAGAAATATATGTTCAGATTGATTAATTCCATTTTATAAATATGACTGCAGAAATGTTAAAGTAAGGTTTATTCCAGGTTTTCCATGGTGATCTAGCTTCATTTGACTCATGAACTCAACTAATAAATTCATAATATGTTTAGATATATTAGACATAAAAATAAAGACAGAAATAATTCATGACACTTCATTTTTCCATATACAAAAAAGGACAGAAACGTGATAATTAAATATGTATATATACAGAGTATGTGCATTTTGTACAAAGGTGGTAATCATAAAAACGTATTAGTTATTGAGAGGAGTAATGTGAAGAAATTTATGCAATTTCTTTGATAGAGAAGGAATTATAATATAAAGCCACTGCTTACCACGGTGTGGCCTCCAAATGCCCTGATACGGGCCAAGAGTTGGGAGAGTCAACTCTCCCTCTCGAAACGCTCTCACATGGCCACGTGCATACAACCACTGTCAGGGAAGTCCTATTCACTACCTTCTCGTGGAAGGGTGTTGTTTACGAAATTGAGAGGACGGAAAGCGAGTGTTCAGCGCTTTAACCGAGTTGGTGGACAAGGTTGGCACGTCTAGGGGGGTTGGAAAACCTTGGTTCCAAACCAATGGTGCACATCGGCTTCAGTATCCTGAAGGAACAATTGGTGTATGAACCAATCGTTGGTCATTGGGACTGCATCTTCAACTTTGCTCCACTGCCTTGTGGATCAGACCTCTAGGTCGAAGGCTCCGGGTGTGGCCCTCTAAGAAACAACCTGATTTGGTTTGGGCACCCGGGCAATATCCCAGCCTTCACACAAATCGAGTGATTTATGTGGCGCATATCTATTTGATGCCTCCTTTTACCGATGTTTATGTGATTAAATAAATAATAAAGAATATATTTTAATTTATAGATAAGAATATGAATGTAACTGATAAACCTATATTGACTCTAAACAGACTTTATTATCAATAAAAAGCATCGACTAAACATAAGAACAACTACTGGAAAATATTACTTATATAACCAACATTAGTAGGTAAAATGAGGGATATGACAAGCGAACGTAAAGTGAATTTTATAGACAAATATATTTAGTTTCAATGAAATCTCTTGATTTGAAATTAGCTGAAATCTTTTTATAAAAATTAGGAAATATAACCTGTGTAAAAAAATACTGGATGAGCTTGAATATCACTATTTTTACTCAGACGATACATTTATGTTTGACCACAGTGTCGATTAATAAAAGTTTCTGCAGACTTCCTATAACTCTCATTTTGTTATCATTTTCACTCACGAAAAGAAAAACAAAAATAATATAAATTCTCTTGATGTCCTCCTTTTCAAAAGAATGGATAAATCTGTAAAAATGGAATAAATCTGAAAAGAATTCATGAATAAGCCACTGTTTCTATTTTCAAACTTGATTAATTTTCTTATCCATAGGACCGTATGACTAGGATAGTGTAGGAAAAGAAAGGAAAACCTTATTTATAACGGTTATTCTTTCAATCTCATTAAAAAGTATATCTATCAACGCAAAAATAAGATAAAGACAGTCAAAGTGAGATAGAAGCCTAACTTAGAGTCAATTTTTGAAGACGAAATAGTCAAAAACACTCTAACACGTCAGCGCAAGGAGTCTGTTGAAAATACAAATAATACTATTAAAATGCATGTTATCTCGACTAATCCATTAATTACAAGCCGAACAAAGGTTAAAATACCGATAGAGAGCCTCTCAATGTGTTTATATCATTTTAACTGCTTCTCTGAAACTGGTTACGTGGGCTGTACTTGGAAGGCTTTATACTTGAGCACTCGTAAAAATGTATCGTCATAGTTAGGAAGAGTAGTCCGGAAATCTATAATTAATTGGGAAGGGATAGCTCAGCACGATAAGATAAATGTTGAAATTGAGATTAAATGTAATCAGAATGATTGTGGAAATAAAATGAACTAATTAGGGATAGAAAATGTAAGGGGAAGATGGAGGGTGAAGCAGTATGAAGAGTATGAAGAAAGAGAAAAATTAAAAATAAAAAAATAACAAATTATATGACATCAGGACCATGGTAGAAGATGTTGTACCAGTCTCTATTGCACACACAATTCTGGTCTTTCCAGATGTATGTGTTCACAAGGTGTTCGATTACTGAGCTTCTTATTGAGCCGATTCCTCTTCTTTTTAGCCATGCCGGACAATCTTCTTGAATTCGTTTGGATAAAGTACGCATCGAACGACTTATATACCTAGCTCCACATGAGCAGGTAAATTAATAAATGCACATTGAGTTAGTCAGATGCGATAATTTATCTTTAAGATTATTAGCAAACAATGATCGGCTGGAGTATACTATTTGCAATATTGTTGCGGGGAGTGTTCTTTTTAAAGAATCGGAAATTCTCTTCTTTATCTAGTCATGCTGAGCCATCCTCTCCCAATGATAACTTCCTTATCTATCATTTGATGAATACTTAAGCCACTAACAATCAGACGATTATTAAAAGAATTTTTTAATAACTTCGTTTATTTAACCTTTATGAATTTAAAGCATTTTTATTTAGGATCCCTTTTTTCAGTCATAAAGAGCTTTCTAAACTACACCAAATACCCTCCACAATTTCGGTGTGTGCCACTATGATTATTGAGGAAATTAATTAATGGTACACAAACATTTATACTGTAAAAAAACTGGTACAAAGGTTGTTCTTTTTTCTTCTACCCACTACATTAAGAGAAGAACTATTTGTTTGAATCGAAACTTTTAAATTAGGATATATATATCCTAACTGATTTCTTATGCTAATGAGAATGGTGTTCAAAGGTCATTTCATGTCATATTTCATTAGGTTCTCTCACTGCCATTTAACATTCACAAATAAAGCTGACCGATTTCTTTAAGAATCCAACAACTTATAACAAATTTATTACTGTTTCTTCTTTGAAATTAATCATGATATGACGATAGACAATATCTTATTTTAATTTTTACCACATAGCTTCAAAATCGTTTTTGTGAAAGTAATTGTTTCTTAATTATAGTTAAATTTTACCATAATTATGAATTCAATAACTGTATAGCTAGATGATAAAGTAACTGAAAATAATCGTTGACCTAAATATTCTTGTTTTGTTTATTTTGGATTAACAGAATCAATTTTTTTTTAAAAAAAAACGAATTTCTCCTATTGATTTTTACAAGATAACGTTCATTAGCATATAAAGAGGCATGGTTGTCATGGAAATTTGATTATATTCAGATTTTATGGGATTTACCTATAAATGTCAGTAATAAAATAATTGTCAAATAATAAAATGTTTACATTTGTTCCAACGAAAATATGTAATCGACTAATAGAATTAATTTATCATAGACCCAATAGAAAACTAGGAATTCTATCAAAATATTATTTATAATATCTACAAAACCCTTCTGTGATTATGATCATCATATGCTTACTAGTGACGGTCTTCGAGAGGTATTTCCTGGAGTTCTAGTGAGAAGAAGTGACCAGTGAAGTTCAACCAGGTTTGTTGTGAGATAATAACTCAGTGAAGACAGCGGTGGACGGTGGCTCAATTTCATGAATTGGTTGAAGTTAGACATTAACACCATTGGATGCCGGTTCAATGGTCTAGAGGTTAAGCGCTCGCACGTGAAACTGATAGGTCCTGTGTGAGAATCTCGCGGAAAGCGGTATCGTGGATGTGCATTGCTGAAGAGTCCTACGACAGGACGAAACGGCGGCCCAATGTTTTCAGGTTTTCTATGGTGGTCTAGATTCAATTGACTCGTGAATTCAACTATTAA